TTAGTCACATTGGTCTTGGATGGTTTTGCATCGGGCTTGGACGAGACAAATAACTCTTTGCTTTAATAACATCGGGCACCCAATGAGTGACATTGAGTTTCAGTTGCATGATAAAAGAGTTATTTTTTAAATTGTTTTAATAGTTGAATGATGGTGAATAAGTTGTGTGGATAATGATGCATGATAGAAAACCTATGTGTGTTAAGTTGTGAATTGTTAAATGATTAAGTTGTAAAGCTACATGTGTTGAGTTGTTTGAAGCTATTACGTTGTTAAGCTGTTAGACATGTGGTTAAGATACATGTCCTATTTAAAGATACATAAAAACTAAAGGAGAGTAAGTGATGACTTTGAAAACTAAATATCTCATCGTGTGGATATGAGATGTGGTGCTCTAAGAGTCCAAGTGTTGGAAAACCTTCAGTATGTGAGTTGACTATTGTATGGTAAGTTGTATGTTGTCTCCTCTAGGTTTTATGTGATATCCGTATATGAACAAGGTCAAAACACACTTGTATAAAGTGATTAACTAAGTAAAGTATCGGGTCAAAGACTTAGTCTTTAGTCTAGTATTGGAGGGACATAGTACTTGGAGGGTAGCTAGTGAGCTAATATCATAAGTAGTTTAGTGATGCAAGCTAATGTCATGATAAGCTCATACCCAAATTATTTTATCCTGACAATGGTAATAAACTTCCTAGTTTAAGTGACAAACTTGAGAAATCAAATTGAGTTGTTAGTTGACCTAATTGAGATAAGTCACGCATTGTGATTTAGTAAGGTCTAATTACTTAAATTGCTCACCCTTTATTGTAAAAGATCTCCGTAGTTGATATGTATGACAATACATCAAATGTAATAAATGTGTTGTGTTGAATTTGCTAAAGTTGATTAAGTTGTTGCGCTGAGGTTCATGTTGTTAGTTGTTATATTTTGACGTGATGATGTGGTTTGTGTGTTGATTATGTTGTATTGCTAAAATGTGCTTAATTTTGATTATATGTTGAATTTTTTTCACAAGCTTACCTTATGTTTTTTTTTGTGTAGTTAAAATTGTAATGATCATACTTGATATAAGAGTAAGATGACTTATATAGTTGGTGGTGAGTCACATTGGAAGTGGCTATATTTTATTGATGACTACAATAAAAATTGCTAATAAGTATTGTTACTTATTAATAAGATATATACCACAAACTCTTATATTGAAGATCCTCTACCTTAATCAATTTTAACTATTAATTAATATGAAAATTAAGACTAATATACCAAAACTATAAATTTGATTCGTCATCATATATAAAAGAAAGTATATTTACAAATTATTATTGAATTATAATATTTTTAGGAGTTACTTTCACCTCAATATTGAATCACTTGCATGTCTTGTAACTAATGATATATTATGATCGTTTAATCTTTATTTAAATATTAATTTCAACCTTAGTTTTATTTAACAATTAGCCTATTTTTGTTTCGCTCATCTCAAATAAAACTCCGTCTATCATTATTTGTATAATTAATTTTCCTAACAATTTATCTTTTCAATATATATTTTCCATCTTTATTTTTAAATTAAATTTCAATATATTTTCAAAGAATTGTTTGTAATAAAATATTTATTTATTATAAATTTTAGTATATAAAAAATTATTTGTTCTATAAATTAGATATGTAAAATTTGGTTGCTACAATATAGTTTGGCTCAACTCCATGATCTGTAATTTTTTTTTTATGAACATAATTTATGTAATACTTTAAAATTGATACTTAAATATTAATCATTTCCACTATACAAACATCAAATATATAACATGAATTTAATGGTCATCTCAAAGATTATTAAAGAAATTAAAAAGGATTAGACCCCAAAAAAGCGAGAGACAAAGGATAAGGATAATGACTAATGAGTTTGGTGGCACCAAACCAATAATGAAAAGATAATAGAACAATTAAAAGCAACCCAATAAACTACTTGTTATATACCAAACGCTATATATGACCCACTTTTTAGAGACCTAAAGACAATGAAAAGTGCTTACACATGGAATTTGTAACCATATAATAACAAGACTTCATAACAGCAGGTTCAAGCTAAAGGTGTTGCATGTCCATTTTTTTTTTTTTTAATGAATTTTGTAATATGATTGTCATATATATTTTTGGTTGTGAATATTATGGGCAATTTGGAGGAGTAGAAACGACTTGGTATAGGAAGACATAACATTCTAGTTAAACTAGAGGTGAATTTTCCTTTACATCAATGAAAGAAGCCCGCATCTGAGTATGTTAAATGCAATGTTGATGGAACAATATTTCAAGATACACAAATTGCTTTGGAGCTAGTAGATAATTTGCTATGAGTATATATATGGACATTTTCTCAAAGCTTAAACAATTTTAATGAATGGTATTCCTTATCCAATTGAGGTTGAAGCACGAGATCTTATGCCAGCACTACAATATATGGTTGGTTGAAGATAGTGTTCAAAATGTTATCATTGAGGTGGATTGCAAAGCTGTGACAGATATTTTCAACATTTTTATTAGGTTGTTCAAGTTTATATGTTGTTTTATCTAACTCTCTAAAACTCTATGGGAGTTTAATTAAAAGGTAAACAAATCTGTTGCACATACTTTAATTAAACATCACGAATATATGTTTGGAGTCATGTATTTACACAAATTCCTACTTATATTTACTCTCTTATTATAAATTCAATGAAATAAGTGTTTTTATGTATATAAAAAAAATATTGTAAAAGGTGAAATGTATTTTAAGTAAACTTATTTTTGATCCTTTAAATTTAAAATTAAATTTTATAGTTCTTGTAATTTTAAAAAAAATCTTATTATAATTTCTCTACTCAAATGTCATAAGTGAATTTTTCTAATATTATTATATAAAATTCACTTACTATTTTTTTTATTAGTAAAAATATCACATTAAATTTAACAGATATTTAATAACGGATTTAATCTATCAAAGTTAGTCATGTTATTGATAGTTTAAGAGATTAAACAAATAATTTTTTTTAAATTATAAAAGATTAAAAATATCAATTTTAAAATTGAGAGAAAAATAAATTAACCTTAAATTTAATAGAATGAAAACATATTTAAGCTTTTAATTTTAAAGTTTTTTTTTCTGCTAAATTTGATGTCAATCCATATATATTTATAACAATGATTTTGTTTATCTTAAAAATTGAGAAATAGTCTCTTACTCTAATTGCAAGTCTTATTTGTAAATGTTACCGACGATAATCACGTATCATGCATGACACCATAGACTAATACTATTAGAAAGATGAGAATTATGAGAGTCATATGCCAACTATGTACATGGACATCATTAATGTTTATGGGATAAGGTGAATCTTGAGGTATAGCCTCACTTGCACTCATTTCAATCAAAGTGTAAAGAATGTGGAATGAGCTTTGTCGAAGCTTCTGATGACGCAAGTTCCTCTAAGCAGCCTAGTAGGAAAGTTAAGAAGAAAAAAGATACAGTGGATGAGATGGTGGTGGAACATGCAACTTTAGGCAATGTTCAGACCCTTCCTACCACAACATTTATATGTGTACTAGTAAACACCCTCCTCGGCCGGATCCTAGGCCGAGAGAAGCACCTAAACCGACGAAATCTCCACCCATGTTATTCTTTCGGCCTTGAACTTGGCCGAATACCCCTTTTCGGCCTTAGGGATAGCCGAATACTTTCCCTACCACCCATGTTATTCTTTCGGCCTTGAACTTGGCCGAATACCCCTTTTCGGCCTTAGGGATAGCCGAATACTTACCCTACAATGAAGAGGGGAAGGAAGCACTCCAAAACTGGGCAAAAGAGCACTAAAGGGAAACGCTCAGATCATCCCCTTTGGCCTTAAGCTTGGTCGAACCCCCCTTCGGCCTTAAGCTTGACCGAACACACCTTCAGGTTTAAATATGGTCGAACCCCCCTTCGACCTTAGGCTTGGCCGAACCCCCCTTCGGCCTTAAGCTTGCCCGAACCCCCCTTCGGCCATGAGCACGACCGAACACTTCTTCGGCTAGCAGCTTGGCCGAAGACCCAAAGAAGGTCAACTCACGTGAAACATATGGCAGATTAGGATATCCATTACACAATGATTATCACGTCTAATTAAGGGAGATCAAGGTTAACCAAAGTATTACCCATCTCCCAAGACAGAAGGCCCACTAGGCCCAAATATGTCACTATAAATACACAGGTGATGGGACATAAAGGAGGTACAATTTATCTAGTATAAGAGTCTTTATTGCTCTATATCGAACACTTACTTAAGCGTTGGAGTGCCTTTGCAGGTACCCTCCCCACCTTTTAGAGACAGTATTCGGTCGGCACCGAAGATTTAGAAGATCGAGAAGAAGGAACGACAAGAGGAGTGTTTCTAAGCAGGAACATTCATAGCTAGGTGGGGGGTGGATACGATAGCTCGAAGCTTGTTCAGGGAGGGTCGGCCCAATAGGATGTTGTACGAGGTATTAGCATGCACCACTACGTATCGTACTTTAATCCTCCGCCCTTATTGTTCGTCCCCGAAGTAGGTATATAGGTCTATCGTTCCTCGGGTGTCCACTCTTTCGCCAGAGAATCCAACCAAGGGCTCGTTGTAAGGTGCTAACTCACGCTCAGGTATACCTAGCTGCTCAAAAGTTTTCCAATATAAGATATCGGCTGAACTTCCTTGATCCACCAACTTCTTCTTCACAATACAATTGTTGATTTCTACGTTGATGACCATGGGGTCGTCTTGCACTGGATCGACCCCCTGGAAGTCCTTGTTGGTGAAGGTAATTGGTGGCATATGGATCAACCCTCCCCGTGTTACAGTGTTAACCGATATGACTGCTCTTAGGTGTCTCCTTCGTGCTGAAGATGTGCCTCTGCCTCCTGCAAATCCTCCGGCTATTGTGTTTATCGCCCTTCTAGGTTGATTCCGGTCTCGCTGTTGATCGTTTCTCTCCGGAGACCTGCTTCATTCCCGGGATCTAAGCATTGGAGGTGCTCTTTCACGGTTCCCCCTCCTGTTATCATGGTAACTGTCGTGTTTCTTCTTGCTTGAGGGTTGGGTGAAGTTTTGAAGGTGGCCAGACTTGACAAGATCTTCAATGCGATCTTGGAGAGCTGTGCATTCCTCCGTGGTGTGTCCCCGGTTCCTGTGAAACTCACATGTCTTGGTCTTGTCCACGTGGGGTGGAGTCATAGCGCGGCGGGGCACCGCGAGGATTTTTGTGGCCAAGGCCTGCTCCAACACCTTGGTGCTGTTGGCGTTGAGCGGCGTGTACTGTGCATATCGGGGCCCCCTGTTGGTCCTTTCTCGATCGGGTGCGTCTCGGGGACGAGACCTTGGAGGGTGCTCCTTTTCAGCTTCTTTCTTTCCGAGGAAAAGGTCAGATCGGTTCTGATTTCTGAACTTGGCCAACTCTTCTATCTGCATGTACTTAGTGGCTCTCTGCCTAAGGTCGTCCAGATCTCGGGGCGGCTTTTTACATAGGCTGTTTACAAAGGGGCCTGGCCTCAATGCCCTGGTGAGGTGGTGCATCGCCACTGCTGGGTCTAGATCTCGGATCGACAAGGTCATCTTTCCGAACTGCTCCATGAAGGTCCTTAGAGGTTCCTTCTTTTCCTGGCGGATGTTGACCAAGGCAATCGAGGTGAGCTGATGAGGTCGGCTTGTGGCAAACTGTATTACGAATCAGGAGGACAAGTTTGTGAAAGAATCTCCTGATACTGGGGGAGTCTTGTGAACCAATTAAGTGCCGGTCCTTTTAGTGAGGTAGGAAAAACATTACACATGATAGCGTCGTCATCGGTATATAACCCGACTTGAGTAACGAATGCATCAAGGTGTTCTTCAGGGTCGGCGGTTCCATCGTACTTTTCTAAAGCCAAGTTTTTCCAGTTGTCCAGCAATCGGGCTCCGGCGATGTCGGGAGTGAATGGTGATTTCCCTTGCCGTCTTTGCTGATCCATGGTCGTTGTCGTCATTCCGCCGGGCAGCCGAGGGATTCTCGTCTCTTTGTACCATCCCGATGATTCCCCTTAGTCATGAGTTGACTGGGTGTTGGGAGTGTCGTGGGATGGATGCCAGGATTGGTTATCACTCCTAAGCTCCGCGTTTTCCTTCCTCAGGAGTGATAGCTCGTGTGCATCCTTCTCCTGAAGTCTTTTTAACTCCATCATCTCGGCTCTTAGCTGTTCTATGGCCGATGATGGATTGGGAGGTTGAGATCGATCCACGTACGACTCCTCCATTCCCTCCTCGTGTTGATTTGTCTGCTGTCTCGGTTCTCGGGGCATCCCGAGGTTGTGAATTGCTGCGTTTTCTTGTTGACTCCTCGTTGCTACCATCTTACTTCAGGGTCGAGAACCGTTTTGATTTCGGTCCCACGGTGGGCGCCAAAATGTTCCTGCTTAGAAACACTCCTCTTGTCGTTCCTTCTTCTCGATCTTCTAAGTCTTCGGTGCCGACTGAATACTGTCTCCAAAGGGTGGGGAGGGTACCTGCAAAGACACTCCAATGCTCAAGTAAGTGTTCGGTATAGAGCAATAAAGACTTTTATACTAGATAAATCGTACCTCCTTTATGTCCCATCACCTGTGTATTTATAGTGACGTATTTGGGCCTGGTGGGCCTTCTGTCTTGGGAGATGGGTAATACTTTGGTTAACCTTGATCTCCCTTAATTAGACATGATAATCATTGTGTAATGGATATCCTAATCTGCCATATGTTTCACGTGAGTTGACCTTCTTTGGGTCTTCGGCCAAGTTGCTAGCCGAAGAGGTGTTCGGTCGTGCTCATGGCCGAAGGGGGGTTCGAGCAAGCTTAAGGCCGAAGGGGGGTTCGGCCAAGCCTAAGGCCGAAGGGGGGTTCGGCCAAGCCTAAGGCCGAAGGGGGGTTCGGCCAAGCCTAAGGCCGAAGGGGTATTCGGCTATATTTAAACCTGAAAGGGTGTTCGGTCAAGCTTAAGGCCGAAGGGGGGTTTAACCAAGCTTAAGGCCGAAGGGGGTGATCTGAGCGTTTCCCTTTGGTGCTCTTTTGCCCAGTTTTGAAGTGCTTCCTTCCCCTCTTCATTGTGGGGAAAGTATTCGGCTATCCCTAAGGCCGAAAAGGGGTATTCGACCAAGTTCAAGGTCGAAGGGGTATCGTGGGTGGAGATTTCGTTAGTTTAGGTGCTTCTCTCGGCCTAGGATCTGGCCGAGGGGGGTGTTTACTAGTACAATATGCAAAAATCAAGTCCTATGAAATTAGACCAATGCCTAACTCCAAGATATCATACATCCTTCCAATACTAGGTTGGGGTACACCTCAAGTAGCCATTTAAAACATACGTGTCAATTCAATATCTAGATTCAAGAAACCTATAGACACAACTGTTAAACATTTAATATACAACGAATCACTGCATATATACCATATTCACAATACCATTTGAAGGAGAACAATGCTTTCATAAAAATATTTTCTATATAGAACTACACAACACCAGGATCTTAGATATCTAATCAACCAACATCACCTTTTGAACAACTTAGTAAAAACATCTCAATTGAAATCATTTTTCTTAAAACTGCCTCAAGTGCATTTCAAAAACATTGTGGATGAAGGGGATCTAGGCTTCTTAACACCAAACTCACTTCCATGAAGTAGGAGCTTAGGCCTTCCATACATTCACTCTCAATATGATGGGTGAAGGAGATTTAATAATTTTAATAAATTTTGTCTATTCAATGATTTATATCGTACATCAAATTTTAATAATTCAACCGTTGAATTAAAAATTATTAATGCATAAATCAAGTTTACAAATTTGTAAAAAGATTTAAAAATTATTTGATGCATCATCATTAATTGAAATTAATAGATAGTCATAAAAATATTTTATATGTTGATTAATTCTATAGAACAAAGTATCATATGATTTTTAAAATTTTAAAAGTTTTGTAAATTTGATCTATGCATTAAATTTTTAATTCAATAATTTAATTATTAAAATTTAATATAGAATATAAATTATTAAGTGAAATAAGTCTACTAAGATTTATTATTGAAGTAAGTGAATTAATCCTTTATATATATATTAACTTTTAATTAAAGAGGCATTTGGTAAAAAAAAATATTTTTACTTTTTTAAAAAATTCAAAGTTTAGAAAAGTTAATTTTTCATATTTGGTTTATTAATTAAAATATAATATTCCAAAGAAATAATGGTTCTCGGGAATATTTTTTATATTTGTTTCTAAGTAGGGATGACAAATATACTCGTACCCGCAGGTAATACCCGAACCCGTCCCGACTTTGACGGGGAATACCCGGTTTGACCGGGTACGGGTAAAACCCGATATATTAAATCGGGTATGGGTACGGGTACGGGTATGTACTTACCCGCCCCGTACCCATACCCGTACCCGTCCCCGTTTCCATTTTTAATTTAATACTCACTTTTAATTTAATTATATTAAAAAATTTTAATATTTTTTTATGTGTGATTATTTATTATAATATGAGATAGAAAAATAACTTAATTATAATTATAATATAATAAATAAATAAAAATTAAAAAAATATTTTTTTTACAAAAAATAAAAAATAAAAAAATTGACGGGTACGGGTACGGGTATGTGTATACCCGATACCCGACGGGGACGGGGACGGGGACGGGGATGGATTTGACTCACGGGGACGGGGACGGGTATCATAAAACCCGTACCCGCCCCGCCCCGTTGCCATCCCTATTTCCAAGAAATTGTTCACACATGTGTAGGTGGAAAATCTAACATTTACGAATTTGGGTAAAAATGTCATATTGTATTTATTCGCATATTTAGTACAATAAAAATCATTTACTTTTGATTATTATTTTAAAATATTCTTAAAAATATTTACCATCACTCTAATATATTTTTATCATGGTTTTAAAAAAAAATTACATCTTAATCATTTTTTGAAAATTATAATTATTGAGAGTTATAATTTTCAGAAATCATAATTTTAGATTTGAAATTTTTTTTCTTATTATTGCAAACGTCTGCTAAATGCCACGATTAATTCTTTTATAAATATCTTTAATGAGAAAAAGTTTGGTATACATGTCAAAATTTGTGATCTCCTCAACTTTGAACCTTCATCCTAGCATGTACGTACATAGTAGCGTGTTAAATAGAACATTTGAAAACGTTGACATAGGTTAATTATAATTTATGTGAGATGTTTGATTAATTTTCCTTTATTATTTTATTATAAGTAACTGTTGAGAAGTTTATTTAAAAGAATAAAATTCAGACAAAATTTCATGTATTTTTGTATTATTTTGACTCAAAATAAAAAAATTACCTTTATAATTCATATAATATAAAAATTAAAATTAACAACCAATAGTAATTTTAATTAAAAACAATTTTATCTATAATCTATTATAATATAATGGGAGTCTTGTACACAACCATTCTAATGGTCTGACACCATTTATCATCTTCCCTTTGGCCCAAGTCTTAAATATTTATATAATCTTAATTCTCCTTTCTTAATTGCTTTCTAACTCACTGCATTCTATTTTCATGTATATTAAAGAATGTCATAACAGCTTCAACCTATCGTATCTTATTTTAATGGTTGTTAAAATATTGATTATGTGAAATGTGATCCTTCTAGAAGCTCATTCATTAACTCTTGTTTTTAATTTTTGATGGTGTAGATGTTGAGTTACGTACCTTATCTGATATGTGAAAGAGAGAGATATGGAATGAATGTATATAAAGAAAATGAGAGATATATGGAATGTCAGTTAGTCCTTGAAAGTTAGATCCACATGATTTCTCCTGTCACTACCAAATTGACCTGTGTTACCAAGTGGCAAGACTTTCTAGAAGGATTCTTATTTTGTTTTTAAGTTTCTTAAAAATTTAATTTGTAATTTTGTTATCCCAACTTGAAAATTTCGTAATTTTAGTTTAATTATTAAATATTTACTTATTTATTATTAAAATTATAATATTATCACAACTTAAAGTTAAATATATGATGGAATTTCTTTTTTTACATGTATATGATATAATTTAATCGGTGAATCATAATTTTATAGTATCTTTAATGTTCATAACAAATTTGTGAAAATTAAATAATAAAAAAAGAATTAAATTATTTATAATTTATTATATTTTAAAATATATATATTGTGTTGATTTTGATCTATATAAATCAGTATAATATAATTTGATTAATATAATTTTTTTATATATGATTTAAGTGAATTTGTTTTAATCTATTAGTAAATTTTGAGAAAATATCATTTAATTTAAAGTTATTGAATGATGTAATAGTTGATAAAAGTTAAACTGATATAATTTGATCTCTCTCTTTTATATTTGTGTATGTGTACATGTTGAAATACAATTACTTCGATATAGCTTTTATCATTTATTAATGAGGTTAAAACATTTTGTGCCTCTATACTTTATTTAATAAAGGTATTTTAAATTTGTAAATATTTATTTGATTAACTAATGTTGTATTTGATTTTCAAACTTTAAGGTCTCAAGTTTGAATCTTCTATTTGTAAAAATCATTAATTTTTAATACCATTTTTTATTATCTAAAAATTAAAGGATAAAATTGTCTAAATAATGCGTCCACCAAATTAAACATCTTCTTTATATATGTTATAGACTATAGATTACTCTATTTAATAACAATAACTTTTAATTGGATAATGTTTTGTGAAAATTCACTGATTGATTGAAAGTTTCTTTTACTTTATCATAACTTTATATTAATATAAAATTATTTAATAATTTATTCATATAGATCAAAATTACTGATATATATATATATATATATAGGAGGGTTCAAACGACACCGGAGTAATTTTTACTAAGTGTTACACCGCTTAATAACTTTATATTAAATGTAAATTTTGAAAATTCAACCATTAGATTGAAAGTTCATATCTCTTAGATCATATATGTCAAATT